CCTTAGAAAAACAGTCTTAGTGTTCAATTGCGATGGTACATTATTTGCTTTCCGCTTTTTGGCACCTGCCTATTCGTCTAAATTATTTGCCATGAGGCAAGAAAGGCAAAAATCAATAATAAACAATAGATAAATGAGTTATATACGAAATTACAATAATAGGGATAAAACTATTTACAATAGGAAGAATCTGGGTTACGCAAAAAATTAATTAAACTTATCATCCCCAGACTTCGTCTCGTCCCGGTGGAGCTTCATTGGTGCACAGAGCCATCACCTCCTACATCAAGAAACCTCCACACGGTCTTATATAAGTAGTCCGCGCAGACTGTTTAAAAAGTGAACCAGTTGTGCGCATGAACCCAAAACCTTTTATAAAAGCTTTGAGAGAAATTTATATTATATATTTGAGAATTGAATCTGTAGTGGTTGACAAGTGAATAAGGCAAACCAATAATATTCATGAATAAAATAAATTTTTTAGTCATATATGTGCTACCACTTTCTTATTTTAAATATATTCTGTATTAAATGACTCGTTCGGTACGTGGATATCCTTCATCGTGGTCTGATCGGACTACCTATAAAAAACCGTGTGGAGGCTTTCAGTTATATGAGGCGTTGATCGAGCACGTCAAAGAATATTAAATAAACAAATAGGTAAAAAGAATATTTACGCTGTCATACTCAATTACATTATTTAAGATATCATATCATTTACGCTATCTACAAAAGTAACTTCGAGAGGGCGCTCTCGGAGAATTTGAGACTTCGTACTTGCCAACTTTTACACATTTGGCGTAAAATTTTATTTCCATATTTAAAATGGTAATAAAATGCATGCTTTCTATATATTCCTTGTATTTATAAACTTAATTTATAATACTTTTGATCCAACACTATTTTTAAAAAAATTAAGCATATATAAGAATATGTAAAACTGCTGTTGAAGACAGCATAAACTTGTTCAAAATACAGCTCATAGTTCTGTCTATAATTGCAATTTATTTTCCAAATGACTACTGCTGACGAAAATCATCCTTGAAAGGATTAAAAGTTGGCAGGTATGAAATTCCATCTGCTGCGGATTCTCCACAGTTTCGAATTACAATTTTCAGTGGTAGTGAACTAAAGCAGAATATTTTAAAATAAGCAGATAATTTTGAGGAAAAAAATTTAGAATTGATGAATTCGTATGCATATTATAGGTATCTTTTTTTAAAAAAATTACGTGGTATGCAAAATTCTGTTAATTCCATTTTTTCGAAATATAAATATGATAAGGAAATTTCTTTCTGAAACTACAGAAAATCCGTAGTAGAGAATCTCTACAAGTTAGTTACCATTATAATGATTGTGAGGGATACTGGATGGCCTGGTCCCGCAGTGGACTGATCGTTAAGACACGGTTCGAAGCAGATCACCGAAGTCAAGCATCACTGGCTACGGTCAGTGTGCGGGTGGGTGACGCAGTGGATCAGTCTGCGTAGGGACCGAGGGTGTGCGGTATTGGTCCTCGTTAAACTGTGCTACCGTAAAGTGCTCGACTTCGCGCGCAGGTCGTCGGGCTACCGAAGCGGGGGTGCCATCCCCTCCGCAGAGGATCAAAATTGTGATGGCATGTCTTCGGATCATCCTCCGGGATGTTTCCCAGACCGTCGCCAATAGCCCATTGTGAAGCTCCAGTGCGACGTAAATTAACAACAACAACAACTGGATGGCCTGACAAACAGGTCCATATATATGAGATACAAATATTCCTACGAATGCAAATATAAATTAAGAAATTGAACAGAATGAAAAAAAAATTAATATTTTTTTGTGCCATCACGTTCCATCACTGTACAAAGCATCTAATACGTTTAATTAATTCTTTAAAAATTCTTCTACTATTAATATTCGTCAGGAATGAAATCGGCCAAGTCAAATCTCAAACAAACCGAATTTAGGAAATATAAGACATTTACAATCTTTTTCATGTTGCAGGAAATAATTGGGCGTGTGATTGCCGCCTCTTGTGGATCAAAGAATGGAGTGAACATGCGACGTTTAAAAATTTGAATAATGAATTCAATTGTTCATCTCCACTCAGTTTCAAATCAAAACTGTTGAATCAATTGACTAAGCAAGATCTCTCTTGGCCAAAAGAAGACTGCCCTACTGGTTGTCAATGTTCATGTGCTCCTTACCAAGAGGATGGATATGCGAATGTAGATTGCTCTTCAAAGAGACTGAGCCGGGTATTTTTTATTATTTTTAAAAAAAAACTCTGTTTGGTTTAATAACTTTATAAATTTCATAATGCTCAGTAAAATTAAATTGAAACTTTATTATTGCTTTATTAAAATTAGCAGGCTTAGCAGCATTTGCAGCATTTTATCAATTTATAAGCTTTTGTCAAGTAAAAGGCTTATGGTTTAATCAATTTATAAGCCTTTGTCAAGTAAAAAGAGAGATAGAACGATTAAGAGAAGGGCTTCACGAAGAATACATCCAGGGTTACGGCGGGATTCGAACCCGCTACCTCCAGGCTTTGCACAGCGTTTGGTCGGCGATACCACTCTGCCAGGGAGGCCCCATTATTAAAACTTTAAGAATTAAATTCTGAATAGTTAGCTGTCGGAATTATTTTAAATCCTATAACGCAATGTTTTTAATCTGTCACCCTAGTAACTATTTCATCTTGAACAACCCTCTCCCCCCCCCCTCCGAGTAGTGCTTAAACAGGGGTCTAACAAGTAGACCTGAAAATAACAACTCGCCACGTGGCAAGTAAAGAACTAGTCACTTTTTAAAAGACTCTGGGCAAAACAGAATTTTCATGAAAATGGCCGAAGTCTCCATTCAAAATTGTTCAAAATCCATCAATTTTTGGTAGAAAGATTCGCGTAGAAGGAGAATTCTCTAACAATTCGCATATTTCAAAGTTGTATTGTATTTTGCTTCCACAAATATTTTTACATGAAGTTCTTAAAAATCAGCATTGTTTAACTGAATTTGGTCACATATTTATACTATTTTTAATATTGAATTGGCTTTTTATAGACGTAGATTATTTCAAACAAGAATTTTTCAAAAAATGTAATTTAATCAAAGCAAAAAAAAATTTTGCCAAAAGTGACAATTAACATGGCTTGCACGTCTGGCCTCACACGGTAAATAACTACAAATTAAATTTGCAAATATTAGGCAGATTTTGCTATTTTTTTAAAAGGGTTTGCAATGCATATCTGAAAAAAGTGGTGAATAACGTAAGCTTAACAATTGTTTAGAAATAGAGATGGATAAAAATCCACAAAATTGAATTTATAAAACCGAAAATCACAATTAATAAACTACCACTTGAAAATAATTATTCGCTGTCCGGTGCAAATTGGCATCTCTGTGTATATAAATAAAACTATTTTTGTAAGTTCCATATTGCATTCACTTCTTTAAACCATTTTAGTAACGATAATAATATTAAAAAATTATCAATTTAAACGAATTATGTGTTTCTAATAATCTTCGCCGGTCACCGGTGACCCCCGTGGCTCTACGATTAAACTCAGTGCCGTTCACCGGTGACCCCCATGATATTCAACGTGTTACATGAAAAGGAGCTATCGATATAGGTCACCGGCTCATTAGGTTTGAGGAAAAAGTAGCTACTAAGTTATTAAAAGTCTTCCTCATGTGCATAGAAGGATCAATATTGGGGTGTCTAGGATTTGGAATATTGGTCCTAAAATGGCTTCAAAATTGGATCAAGATTCATTTCTGTCACGGAGCAGTAACAAAATAATGCATCCAATATTGGCCCTAGAATGTAGGCCGAAAAGGGATGTAGATATCCACTAACACTGCTTTACCATTTCTGATGCAATTTTATCTTCTACTTGCTAAGATTTTCTCAACTTTTGTGGCCTTAGTAGCAAATATTCGTAAAGTTTTCTACTTATTTATTTAACTACTTATTTAATTATTTATTCAATTATTTATGTAATTACTTACTAAATTATTTATTTAATTATATATTTAAGAACATTTCAACGCATTAGAAAAAATATAGTAGAAGTAAAATAAGCATAGCGCTGTAGGATCTCGAGTTGTATGTTAGTAATTATAGAAATAATATCTTACGAAACTAATTTAGGTAGAGAAAAATATAAACATAAAAGAAGAAATAATTATAATCAACTAAGAAACTAAACGATAGAAACCAATATTGTCAAGTTTTGTGCAAGAAAATTTTCCAAAAATCACCCGCTAGGGGCCGGTGAAGGTAGCAGGTCTGTAATTTAAGATGCATAATAAGTAGACATTTTTTTTTTACATTTAGCCAACACTCTAAGATCAAGTGTGCCAAATGAAATACGAAATATCTTATTTGAGGTCACCCCTTCGAACTATTAGTTTGCGTTCTAGAAAGTGAAGATCCGATTAGATCAAAGGTTTTTCAGGGTGGTCCGTTTTCTACATCCAGCATTGTACATGTACATAATTTTAAAGATTTTCTATTCATTAAAATATCTTTACATTTTATTAGATTCCAAGCAGATTTCCAGAATTCACAATTGAACTAAATCTTCGAGAAAACTTGTTGTCGAATCCAATCGAGCTCAACCTTCCTCCAATGTCCAAGCTACTTACCTTGAATCTGGAACGCAACTTTATTTCACGATTGGACTTCAGTCTTCCGAATAACATAGAGACTCTTCGACTGGCAGAAAACAATATTACAAGATTCTTCAATAATCCACCGTCTAACATCAAGACTTTCACCCTATCTCATAATCCATGGCAGTGTGACTGTGATACTCTGCCTTTCAGAAAATGGATAATGGTAGAAAGTTCTAAGGTAAGGTACAACTCTCTGGCCGTAACTTCATCATCTTTCTATTAAATTATCCCTTTGTAAGGCGCCGTAGAAGTATGCCTCACAGAACAAAGAACTAGAATATAGCCCTCAAAACTGCTGCTGCTGCTGCTGCATATACATACATAATATATATATATATCATACCTGCCAACTTTTCCGGATATTCCGGAAGATTTTACTTTCATATTTAAAGTGGTAGTAAATACATGCTATTTTTTCTTTTATAAATTTAATTTTTAAATTATTTTGATCACCACTATTCTTAGAAAAATTAAGCACATATATAAATATGCGGTACTAACATGGTTGCAAACTTAAGTTTTCTCAAATACAACGTATTTGTTTGCTTAAAATTGAAGTTTTAATTCCATTTCACTGGGAAAAATTATAATGGAAAGGATTAAAAGTTGGCAGGTATGATATATATATATACACCGAAGAGCCATTACATTATGACCACCCTGATAATAACATGTAGGACCGCCTTTAGCCCTCAAAACTGCTAGCACCCGTGGTGGCATTGATTCCATAAGGTGCTGATAGGTAGTCTGAGGTATCTGGAACCAAGTGCTCACCAACTGGTCCTGCAATTCCCTCACATTGCGAGGGAGTAGCGTGGCAGCACGAATTTGGTTTTCCAAGTAGGACCACAAATGCTCTATTGGATTAAGGTCACTTGAATTTGGGGGCCAAGACATAACTTGAAAGTCACTGGAATGTTCCTCGTACCAATCCATGACGATTCGACCCTTATGACATGGTGCATTATCCTGTTGGTAAACACCATCCCCAGCAAGAAAAACTGTTGTCATGAATGGGTGAACCTGGTCTGCAACTATGTTCAAGTAGCTTACAGACGTCAGGGATTGCTCTATGAGGATTATGGGTCCTAATGTGCCCCATGAAAACGTTGTTCCTGGGCGAGAAACCATGAAAACCTGGGCAAGCCCATTGTTATAGATGGAGGGTGGTCGTAATGTAATGGCTCTTCGGTATATATATAAAAGTTAAAAAAACAAATTTCATCCGGAAAACAAACAAAAACAGCGAATAAATTATTACAACTATATGTGTTTAAAGTAGTGTCCATCGGATGGATATGGTTATGGAATATTTATGACTTGGATATGGTTATGGAATATTTATGCCATTTTTCTATGTATCATGCCTAAGTGTAACAATCTTACGGCATGATACATAGAAAAATGGGGTTTACTTTAATACAAAAATTATAAAAATAACTAGCATGCGATACAGATTGGAGTTGTAAGGAAGGCTCTGACATTTTTACTCGTTATGCAATCGTTCGAATCAAAAAGAACAATGTACATGAAAAAGACGTTAAAATTTTAAAGAACTCTTGATTAGAAATCAAAAGAAGGTTCGATATTTCTCAGGAAGAATCTTCAAAGCATTGTCTGCGAAAAATCAAATGTTTGCAACCAATCTGAGAACTAAAAGCAAGACAAAGCCGTACTCTTATGAGAAAAAGGATGAATCCAGCATTTTCCTGACTGGCAATGTTTTCAAAACTCCGTCTCAAAGAAAACAATGAGGCTAATGGGGAAAACAGATTGAAGAATAGAGAATTGAAGATTGGATTAGAATATTGGCGAATTGGATAAGAGAAAATTTTTTAAATCCTGAGGCAGTTGGGAAAGAAAATGTTTTTAAGATTTCGTCAAGCAGCATGAGTCACATTCCTAGCCAATATGTATGATTTGTTTCTTCTAAAAATTATAAATTAGAATTTTAAAAACAGGAACTAACAATTGAGCGACTCTCTAACGTAAATATGATTTATAAAAATAATGAATAAATAATAATTATAAATGATTCAATGTGGTAGACTGGAGACAAAACTTTTCAAGATATTGTCAAACAGCATGCACGTTAATGCACATTTTCTCATCTTTTTTATTATTTCTGCTAACAGTTAGCTATTGCAATTTTGAAACAAATATCTAACAATTAAACACGCAAACATGATTTATAAAAATAACCAATGATTAATAGAATATTTATTTGTTTAGATGCATACTTTTACTTATTTGACCCTCTCCCCTCATGAAGGAAATGTTTCCAAAAGTTTACTTTTGAAGCAGTTTGAATACAAAGCATCTCTAACACCCCCATAAAAACAACGTTGCGTAACAAAGTAGTAAGGATACGTTTGCAAAACATATTTTGGAATTTTTACTAAAAGGGAAAGTAATGGAAATGAATTTAAATAATATATATATATCAATTTTACCACCTCTTATTGGTGATTTCAGTTACTCTCTTAATGAAGTACCCGAAACTTTTAATCGAAATTAAAAACTAGTCAAAGTAACCATAATTGACGATAAAACAGCATTTTAGAAAATTTCTTAACATTTAAATTATTTTCAGATTTTAGATGTAAATGATACACGATGCAGCTTTGAAGAAGATAGAGAGAATATGAGAGGGAGAGTAATAATTACTCTGAGTGAAATCGAGCTTTGTCCTAAACTAATACGGAACTATATCTTAATGGGAGTAGGTGGTGCGGGTAAGTATCAATACCAAACATTTCTTTCACATTCGTAACCACAAAAAGTTAGTTATTTGAAAAGATGTTTTTCTTTTATCATCTATGTTGTTCTTTCTAATGCCACTTGACAATATCAGCAAGCCTGTTTGGTGAAATTAAGCGAATTTATAGCGGAGGGTACATTTCTTGTTTATCAGTAGTGCCCTGTATGGCCAAAAATACGACTTTAGCGAAACACTCCTCGCAGCCCGTTTATACGGCAGAGCCATTCATACATCCATTCATTCATCAACCGATCGTAATTTTAACACGTTGAGATCCGCGTCAGCCATCGGTGGCTGACACTGGCCTTTCCATTCAGGCCGCGTCAACCACCGGTGGCTGACACTGAAATTACATTTAGGCTGCGTCTGCCACCGCTTGCTGACACTGACCTCTCACATAGGCCGCGAAAAACAGCAGGCTGACAGCGTATAACATGATATAGAACTATAAAATTTACACTCTTTTATGGAATTGCAGAAAATTTATTCAAAATTTACTTAATTATTTTGATTTTTGGTTTTGTAAATTCAATTTAATAGATTTTTATTCACCACTATTTTATAACAATTCGTAGGCATATATAATTCGCCACTTTTTTTCTGATATGAATTACGAAACCTTTTATTAATGCAAAATCTGTCTATATTTGCAAATTTAGTTTGCAGTTATTTACCGTGTGGCCAGACGAGCAAGCCATGTAAAATTAGCGTGGCATTCAACTTGTTAACCTGAACCTCAAAATGATCAATCTCTAATTCAGTTCCTCCAGAAGTACTATTTGTTATGGGAACATGGAGGACTTTGTAATCCGACAGATTTCACGTTCAATAGTAACCATTTACTACACGGAGAACTTTCAGCTGTCCGAGATCGAACTCAGGACTTCTTAGAAATGGGCCTAAGACCATGCCAACCAAGCTATCCCGGTCCTTCTATCATATATACCAAAGTAAAAATAGTTCAGAAATCCAAAAAAAACGTTCTTAAACCGATTGCAAACTGTTGAGTACTTACATTGTAAATGATCATCCAGATAGTATGCAACACTGCGTTAAACGTTGTATTTTCATTTGGTCGGCATAGAAAGATTGATCAATCAAACTTTTTTTAAACTTGGTAGAAATATTAGTATGCAAAATTTACAAAAATGAGATATTTTCGTCTTTTCTTGTAAACCTTCTTTTTGCCTTTTTCTTCTCTCTAGCTTTGTCCAAGCATTGAAATGCAGAATTATGTTTGTGTTGGGAACTTATGATCAGCGCAAACTGATTTTACTTTTAAAGTTTCAAGGAAAGTGTATAAGACTCTGCGGAAATAAACCTTGTTTAAATGATGGTTATAAATTCCAAAAGAAATCTTGGGAAAGGGGAATTTATCCTCGGTTTGAAAACGCTTTTCTTCTGTTGATTTGCAAAAGGATGATTTATTCGTGATTTTAGAACGCTTTTCTAGTCTTGTTCTGCAAACCCAGCTGCAATCTCGACACCAAAGGGTTGTTTATGCAAAATTAATGCGAGCATTGTTAGCACAGCTAAATTTGACATAATTGCAGGCTTGTGTGGTTTATTTGCCAATCATTTATAACCTTTGTACTGGGTTTTGCTATAATGGTTGTTGCTGACATTGAAATCAACCTTGCGCTGCTACTTGAGATCACTCGACCTCATGTTTTAGGCTTTGGATGGACTGGAAAAATGGGGGGGGGATAATATTACAAATCAACTTTGTTAGAACAATTTGCATTTTAGATCTTTTTTTGTTTTATTAAAACTGATGAATTAAATTGAACCTAACAACAAAGAAGCAAGGAAAATACTACAAGCAAATGGAGTTGACGTTATCCATGGATAATGTATATTTTGATTTTATTATTACTTTGTAAAATTGTAAGCAGAAAACATTACCTTAATACTAGTCCTATGCCTCAATATTGTTCTCAAATGATTCAGGATATTAAAAAATATATCAGGAACAAATTTAGAGAGGTATATTTGTTTCCCCTCCCCCTTATCATTTAAATGTAGAGGTGTGGAGAATAACTTTAAATCAAATTTACAAAATAAAGAATCATACATTATAATATTAACACAGCTACTACTAGAAGAAATTTTTCCAAAAAGCGCAGGAACGTGGCAGAGTCCAGCTCCTTTTCGACCAGATTCGATGAAACTAGACAGTAAGGTTAATGTGGGCAATTTTTTTTTTATTTGCCAGTAAAGATTCCTGATCAATGTTTTGAAAATATTAAAAACAAAAATTTTAGTTTAATTCGAATGATTGTCAAAATTTTGAATGATATACAACCTAATTTTGAGTGTATATATTATTAATAATCTCTTTTCAAAAAAAATTATTATTTTTATCCACACCTTGCAGTGATTTTAATGATGACAGTGGCCTCCATTTTGTTGTATTTCCGATATCGATATCATTTAAAAGTGTGGCTCTATTCGAGAGGATGGAGATGTTTCAAGAAACGAGACAAAAGAGATGATGGAAAACTATTCGATGCTTATATTTCGTTCACTGATGAAGACGCTGATAGTGTCCGGAAGCACTTTCTGCCAGGTAAGTTTAAAAATGCTTAAACATCTCAGCTTCTTAATTTACATTTTCTTAAAACAATTCATAATCATGTGGTAGAATGCCAGATTGAAATTTTTTATTATTTTTAAGTGAGAGAAAAACAGGTCTGCCAACTACTACGCTTTTTTGCAAAATATTTTATAGCGTTGGAGACATTTGAAAACCAAAGCTTTCAGAATTTTTCGCTACATGGCCAACATTGTAAAAGCCTGCCCGCGAAAACCTGTAACACAGTGGCGTCGTTGCATATTAACTTTGAAATCATTTATGTGCAGTGGTGTTTAAAATAAGTTTAAAAGAACTAAAATTAATGCATTTTAACATACACATATTTACCACTAGAATAAACTTTTACAAAAAGTGTTGAAAGTTGGCAGCCCTGCAAAAGGTATTGCAAAGATTGGCAAGTTAAAGTAATGCAAATTAATTAGATGAAGATATTAGAGTAATGAAAATTAGTCAGTGCTTGACAAAATTTAAATTTTTCAAGCGATCTCAGGTTTAGCAGTCTCAAGTAGTCCGGTTAATCCTTGTATTATACGTCACGTTTTCGATACTGAATCATATAATCTTCTATTTGCACCCTACATATTATTATTGTATTTTGATACACCATATGCAATAAAATGCATATAATTTGCCCAAAACAGTTATTAAAAAAAATGAGTTTTGCAAAATACTGCCATGTTTTTATTTAAGTCTGATGAAAATTAAAGTAGAATTTGATGAAAATTTAATATTTATGTTTCTAATTTCTTTAAGCATTGTTACCAATTATCCCCCTTTTTGGGGAATGCTTATTTTTTTATATTTCAAAGGATAACAAAATGTAATCTTTAATAACTCTGTCTTGATTCACTAATTTTGAATTTGAGCACCATTGCATTTAAACAATTGAAGGATACAAATGTTTATCAAAATAATGGATAAACTTTCTATACTAACTCCAGATAAATTATCCAAGCGTCTTAGCTGACACGCCAAAGGCTTTGTAGCTTGGAGGTCGTGGGTTGGAGTAACACCGAAATTCCTACTTTTATCTTCGCATGTCTTGCGCAACCCTGCATGTGTACCATTAAAATAATGCTAATACTAGTATAATAAAGTTAGGTATGGTTTTTCAAGTGCTAATGACAAATTTACAATATTTTGTTTGCTGTTTTTATTAATGGTTTACGCCGCACTAAAACTGCACGATGGTGACGGTCTGGGAAACATTCCTGAGGATGATCTAAAGAGGTGCCATCAGAATTTTAATCTTCTCCAGAGGTGTGACCCCCTATTTCGGTAACAAGACGACCTGCTCAAACTCGATATTTTCACGGTAGAACAGTTTAACGTGGACCAATAACTACACACCCGAGGTCCCTTTGCAAGCTGATCCAAGTGGTCGCCCACCCGTACACTAACCGCAGCCAGTGATGCTTGACTTCGTTGTGCTACTGGAAAGTGTCTTAAGGTATCCGACTACCTTAAAAAAGAGGATTTTCACAAAAAATCACTTTTTTATTTTATTGCTTTATAATAATGCCCAATTTTTCTAGTTTTAAAAACTAGAAAAA